CCCCATCCACCAGATCCAGTGCAATTTTGGGAAGCCAAAGTCAAGTCTGTGCAGAGCAACGCGATATCCTTTACATGGACCACGCCAATCTTCGGAAGCCAGAACTTGTCAGAGGTAATCATTAAGGCCAAGCCCACGGACAGGAAGTTGCCGGAACGAACAACCCACAAGACTGGTTACTACGGCGATGTGGACGGATTGCAACCGTGGACAAACTATAGCATCACCCTAACTGCCGTCTACATCCACGGATCTTATAAAAAGGAAATTGGAACGTATCGGACAGCCGTTGATGGTAAGTAATTATGAAAAAAAAGTAGTAGTGGTTTACTTTTTAATGATTTTTCCGAGTGAACACCTACTTCTTGGGCTTTTTTGTGGAAGCTTCCGATAAACCTCAATTACGATTTGCCTTAGCAGCGCAACCACTTCAGATGTTCCTTTTATCCGTGTCACTGTAATCACGCCGATGCATGGTGGGATCGGTTAACTCCGACAGGACCCACCCGAAATACCGATGTCTTCTCGCTAGATTCTAATGAAGCTTGGAGTGCGATTTAGGTTGGCGTGAGGGTAATGTTTGGATTAGGGTTATGGCTGGGGTTAAACTTAAGATTGGGGCAAACCGGCAAGACAACCCTGGCTCTTCGTGAAATTGAAAATACAAGAGAAACACGCGATTTTCCGATGATCCATCTCTCCTCATTTATTACCTCAGAATGCCTATTACTTCAGTTATTCAAACTTGTAATAATTTATAAACCGAACTATATGCCTTCTTTCTACAAACCGTTGCTCGTTTACAGCTGGAAGACTTTGCGGGTCATAGCATGGTCTGATCTTTCGTAAAATGCAGTTTTCGTGGTAAATGTATGCGATTTCGTGAGGTAGCACAGCCATCCTACTACCCTGCTCTAGCCTTAGCACCAACCCTAACCCGAACCCCAATCTATGCCCCAATCTCATGTTTGTAGACTGAAAATCAAATAGTATTAACGGCAAGGATGAGGGAGACTGGAAGGGCCAGTCTGTCTTAGCGAGTTCGATGCTCGGGTGTGACACAACCTCGGTCTGTGTGTAACTAGTTGATGACGGCTAATAAGCCAGAAATGACCATCCTAGCCTCTCTTGTCTTTTTGGGTAATGTCTTTCTGCCTATAACCTTAGCCGCCTCGCGATGGAGGCTGGAGTGAGAGCTATAAAGGCAACATACACGGACGAGTTTGTCCTCAAACAGATCGGTGCACGCGTATCTGCTACTATATATACCGCACAGTAAGTAACTTTACAACATTAACCGCCTTGCGGCATAGGATTACCTATGTTGTGAGCTCCTTAGGCGTCAACTATGACGTGTGCGTCTTGAAACGGATCAGTTTACGATTATCTACTACTAATATATATATGGATATAAGCGAAGATGCTGACCCCAGGTATTGGAATGGAAGGAGAAGGTAAAGCGAGAATGGTTATTCGTCTGAGTTTTCGCACTCATA